CTCGAGAAGTTTCGTATAGAGGGATGATGACATCTGTAAAGGCATGAAAATTGTTCCCAGCGTAACCACCAACTGAAAAGACTATGACCGGTACATTGTGAGTTTTGGTGCATGTGGGCATGCTTTCAACTTTTTCTTGGATCACTTTGATGGTAAAGTTTGTTACACTTTCCATTGCACTTATGTCGCCCTTACGAGCATAAGGCTTTATTGTCCATGAGGCATTTTTGCCATGCGAAGATAACACGAAAATGGTGGAAGTATTCCCTTGAATTCTTACATCGCCCTTCATCTCGCAAGTATCTGATCTTTGTTTTGTGGTGTTGCATATTTGCTTCGTTTCTTCTATTTCAACATCTAATAAATAAAAAATCAAAGTAAATTTTTTTTGTTGGATCATCTATTGCTAAAAAAAAATAAAAAAAATTATTGGCATGATTTTCAATATTTAACAAAATGCTTAGACTTACAGGATTCCAAGGGTTTGGTAGCTCTTTGGGAAATCATCACCATTTTGAACCCATCAATCAACGTCAACCTAAGATTGGCTATGACAAAACCACAAAATTCAACTTATATATATTTATATATATATATATATATATATATATATATATATATATATATATATATATACTAGTTTATAATCCGTAGAAACCACGGTTATAAAATTAATTAAACTTTAATAGTTAAAATTTAAAATTATTAATAACTTATTTTAAATAAATTATTAATTAAGAGGTTTTTTTAGTTATATAAAATTATAATCATTGATTTAAATAAATATGTAAAATTATATCACTTTATAATTTTTATTAATTTTATTTTAATTTTTATTCTAATATTGTTAATTTAATGTAATTAGAATGAGAAATTTAAAATTTGAATTTGAAATGGAGAATTAATATGTTGACAAATGGTATGGATTAATTATAAGTCAAAATAAGGTGAAACGTGACAAAAGAAAAATAAAATTTGTATTAATTATGATGTTTAATATGGTGACACGTGTCAAAAAGATATTAAAAACTACTTTTTTTATTAGAATAGGGATATTTTGATTGATGAAATATGTATACCAAACAAAATTCATTACTCTTTGAAGTGATTAACACCTTAAAAAACACATGGATAATGGGTGAGTAAAAACCTTTGGCGTTTAACAATATAAAAAAACAAAGTGAATCTTGAAATATATAAAGCTACTTACAAACAGGTAAAGGACCGAGGTAAGGCTTGAATACAGTGCAAAGACAACATGTGACTATAAAACAAGCAACCAATGCACCATACCCGAATCTTCTCTGGTCTTGTCGACTAAAGCTTCGAGCAAAAATCTCATCGTATTTCATTTTCTTCTTTCTATAAAAATATGTCAAAGAGGTAGTGATTGAATCTATGTGAAATAGCCATACACATATATGCGGATGATTATATGCCTTGTATATAACTATATAATGACCTGCACTAAAGACGAATGAGGATTTCTTTTTTAGTGATTGGTGCGCACGATTTCAATATAGGGTGTTGTTATTGAGACAGTGACGTAGGAGTTGATTTGGTGACTTTCTTATTAGAACATATTACATATTTAGTCTTTATATTTAAATATAAAATATAGAGAGAATTTTATAATTGAAGTTTGCCAACAATTGTATATGTTGTAAGGAAGTTTGCCAACAATTGTATATGTTGTACCGAATTTTTAATATAATTAAAAGTTTTATGTTATTCATTCGGCAGATAAAATTACAAATTTGTCTTCTTTTTTTCGCTCAACAATTTCAATTCAAATAATAAATAAAATGTATAAGTAGCGGAAACAAACCAAAATAAATAAAACCATTAAATAATATTGAAGTAGAGAAGGAACAAAGCATGGCTTTTAAAAATTCAACAAACTCAACTATCTTATTGACATTAGCTTTGCTAGAACATGCAACCCACACACACACAGATTGGAGTGTGTTAAGACGTCCCAATCTATTTTACCGAACACGAATGCTAGAACATGAGGACCAACTATTATAGATTTATTGTATATATTAAGTTACAAATTTTTTTCGAACACATTTAGTCGCTAGTCTTATTTTTCTACTTGTTCAATCAATTTTTTGTACACTTTACCATCGCTAATTTTATATATATATATATATATATATATATATATATATATATATATATATATATATATATATATATATATATATATATATATATATATGGAAAAGTGAATATATGTTATAGCCCCACACAAGCTTAGGTATGCAACATAAGAAACGTTGTCGTTTTGAGCTAATTTCAACAATTAATCGATTTGCTTGATAACGTAATATTCCAAGCGTATCTTGTTTCCTTTATTTTCGGTATCACATGATTTCCTCACTTTCAGAAGTCGATTGTGTTTAACCGGAAAAAAAAAAAAAATCATGGCTTGTAATTGGAATCGGTATTTTGATTAGAACGAGAAAGTATAAAGGGTTGAGATTGAAATTATAATTTTTTGCTAATCGCTCTGTTTGTTCTCGATTGTTGCTGTTTGAATATTCTACACCATATTCAAGACATTGTTGCAGGTTACTTGAATATGGTGTAGAATATGGTGTAGAATATTCAAACAGCAACAATCGAGAACAAACAGAACGATTAGCAAAAAATTATAATTTCAATCTCAACCCTTTATACTTTCTCGTTCTAATCAAAATACCGATTCCAATTACAAGCCATGATTTTTTTTTTCCGATTAAACACAATCGACTTCTGAAAGTGAGGAAATCATGTGATACCGAAAATAAAGGAAACTAGATACGCTTGGAATATTACGTTATCAAGCAAATCGATTAATTGTTGAAATTAGCTCAAAACGACAACGTTTCTTATGTTGCATACCTAAGTTTGTGTGGGGCTATAACATATATTCACTTTTCCCATATATATATATATATATATATATATATATATATATATATATATATATATATATATATATATATATATATATATATACCTTCTCTAATAAAAAAAACTTTATTATGCCACTTGTCCCTATTCTAAGATGTTTTGCCACATATCATATTTCTAAGATTTTTTCATAACACATCAACATTGTTCCACATTTTTTGGTAACAAATCAATTGCTTTTAAAATTTTGATTTATCCCATAAACTCTGGGATTTTCAAATTTTGCTTTTCAAATTTTGATTTATACCGATTCAAACAAAATTGCAATTAAATATGTCAGGTTTATAATTTATCCTATAAAATCTGGGATTTTATTATCATAGATACCTAAAACTATCTATTATATAGCTTATTCTTCATTTAAACTTCATATGAAAACAACGAGACCTTTATTATTATTCATAAAAAATGCTTTCAAATCTTCAATCATCACATTTCTGCAATAGATACATCAAAGAAAATCAAGTTAGTACATCTTCAATAAAAACTAATAATTATCTGATCTGTTTCGATTTTTACCAATGTTAGTTGTTTGTGCATGTGTAATCATGTAATGATTCTTTTTCCTATTTGAATTTTTATAAACTATTAGTTGTTAAGCATTTTGAAATAGTAATTTTATGTAATGTGCATAACGATTTCATGTTATGCAATGTTGTATTTCAATTATCTATACTAGAAACACCTAAAAAAATCATATTTTAACAAATAAATCATATTGCTGACATATTTTTTAAACTATTATGTGGTCTTTTTTATATGAAATACTTTTCTACATAAATAAACTATAAATATAGCATTGTAGCTTTAAAAACAAAACTTTTATACCATGTTACTTTATAACAATCAAAAGTAATCTTTCAAATAGTAACATTGTAATTTTTCATGATATGTATATATTTCTTTTAAATAAAAGGGTAAACCGTAATGTTATATATGTTCCATCTAAATAAAGTACAATATTGTTTTTTTCTACTGTTTATACTTTATGTTTCAATAAAGTGGATTTTTTTTTTCATTTTTTTCTCTACCCTAATATAGCAATGTAGTTTACAGTTTTAAATTATGTTAAAATAGTATCCTACTTTAAATTTCTATTAAACCTGTAAATATATGAAAATAGGTACCATTTCATTTCTGTTACACTTTGAAAATTCTATAAAATGCAAACTAATAGCATTGTTTACCTTTTGTGCTAACACCCAATTGTATCATTGTACTTTAGATATTTGTGTAACAATATTTTATAATTTTTTTGTTACTCTTTACTTTTAACAATTCAAATAATACCCTTTCCCAATTATTATGGTTGTGTCTCTTTGTTTTGTTTTTGAAACTGTTCCAGCCACCACAGAATCTGTTGCAATCTCTCTATTTTAACATTTCAAATAATACCCTTTTTCTATTTCTTTGTTTTTAATTTCTTACCTTCACAAATTAGAACATCCTACTTTGCACATATATCGAAACAAATAGGATTTTTTATTTCATTTTTTTCTCTACCCTAATTTAACAATGTACTTAAAAAAGATATAAATCTCGCTAACTATGAAACCTCCTTTATGAGATATAGCATAATTTGGTCTAATACAATAATTTGTTAGTTTCTTGCCAAATTACATCAAACAATTACAATTTTGGTTCAAATATTTTCGGAATTAAACTTTAAACTAACACCCACATTATGTTTTCACTGATTCAAATAACTTTTTTATGTGAACCTAAAAAATATATGAAAATACACATAATATCATTAAATCTCTCCAAGATTGTAAGATCCTTCAAATAAACAAAGCTGGAAATTTAATTGGAAATGAAATTACATAAACAAGAAATATGCCAATATACTTATAACCCTCAATCAAATTTTTGAAAACTGCATTTTCATTTTTGAAAAGGATATTTAAAATTTTGTAAAACTCTATTTATTCCAATATACTTATAACCCTCAATAAAAAAAAAACTAAATACCTTTTTCTGAGATACATTCCTGCATTGTCGATCCCTTTGTGTTGTGATCCCGTCTCTTCGATTCCACCCTCTTCGTGAGTCGTAGATTTCTAAGTGAAAGCACTATTACAATTGGCCGATGTCGCTATCCAATACGTTTCTCCAAATCTCCGTTTGGCACCATTGTTGGCCTCTTCGTCAACTCTACTTATTTTTTCTGTCAATCTCCACCTCATCTTTGCTCTTGAACAACGTATCTTCAAGATCAGATGTTTGACTTAGTCTTTATATTGTTTTGAAAATCTTATTTTCACCGGTACATCTATATATTATCGATGTTCTTCAGTAGATCGTAGGTTGTGGGTATACAAAAGTAGGGAATCCAAATAAGATTGCAAGAAAAAATAACATCTCAGACCTGTTGCACTACTTTGTTCTGAGAATTAGAGTATTAATGGTGGTGAGAATAGATACAAAAGAGAAAGGGGAAAAGAGATTTAAAAAAGAACCCATATGGATGATTGAAGTGAAGGGAGTATATTGTAGGTTCTAGGCATTTTTTGGGGGTGAGTGGCAGAAAATTGTGAAGGGGATCGGTAGTCTATGACTCTATGTCAAACAAAATAGTTTGAATTATTTGAAGTAATTAAAATTAATTAGGCACAAAATTATAATGGAGAAATGAGGAAATTTAGGCTATTTCAAATGTTCCAAGATTTTATATAAGTCGTTCATAAATTGAGTTTAGATATTTCACATATATATTTACTAGGTTAAAACCCATGGATCCCATGGGTGTTAATTTTTAATAGAAGTTAAAATTTAATTATGTAATAAAATAATATTTCATTAATTTAGAAAACTTATCAATAGTAATATTGTATTTTTTAATAACTTTGTAATATTGAATATTTGAACAGTCATGATACATTTGTTAATTGATTTGTTTCATCTCAAAATTTAAATTATTTTGTTAATTAATTTGTTTCATCTAAAATGTATAATGATGTCTATCGACATTTTTTTAATTGATTTGTTTTATTTAAAATTTGAATATTGCATTAGTTTTGGATGAGCCTAATAAAGCATTATTAAACATTTAAAAGGAATTGATTAATGATGTTGTTTCAACTTTCCTCGATATGTGTTCAAAATTCAATGATACAATTACAATGATTAAGTCGGTTAATAGTTGTTTACGTAAACATTTGTTTTAGTTTTTTAATTAAGTTTACATTAATCACTCTTGTTTTTTTAAGATTGGAAAACTTCTCTTTTGTATTAAGGGGATTGTTTTTCAAGCGTTTTACTTGAAGATTTTTCATTTTTGCCATTTAAAGAAAAGTTTAAAGATACATTGATGTTTCGAATTCAATTACGAATATCATGCCAAAGAAAAAACAACACATGAAGTAACAATTACACGTTAATTGCCAAAAAATTAAACCTAATAATTTTATCTTATGTTGAAAAAGGAAAAAGAAAAAAAAAAAAAAAGTCAGCTGACTAACAGTCAACTTCCACTCCATTTGGAAGTGATTCAGGATCAACCACATAATTGTGATTCTGCAACAAATGTATTCCCCCATTAAGTTAATAATATTTATTAATAACAATAATGATACTAATATATAATACTTGGGCACTAATCTCAACACTTCCATTTATGAGGTTACGAACATGATGATTTCCTCCATGATGACCAAATTTCATTTTATATGTCTTCCCACCCAAGGCATGACCAAGCAACCGATGTCCCATGCAAATTCCAAAAACAAGAACATTTCCCATAATAGCCTTCACTGTCTCAACAACATAAGGTAAAGCAGAAGGGTCACCTGGTGCATTGCTAAAAAGTACCCCATATGGTTTCATTTTAAGAGTCTCAGATGATGGCCATGTTGAAGGAACAACCATGATTTTACACCCATACGATCCCAATCGCCTCAATATATTGTGCTTGATTCCAAAATCATATTCTACCACCTTCATTTAAACAGTAATTTAATAAATAAGTTAAAACTATTAGGAAGAAATGAAAGTAAGATGCTATAATCAACAATTCAGAACATGTACATTGATGCTTGGTTGCGTTTATAAAAGAAACTCACAGGGAAAGTCTCGCCATGCCTTTTGTTGGAGTTAAAATCCCATTCCATATCGGTCTTACCAACCCATTCATAAGGCTTCTTACAAGAGACGGTAGAAATTAAATCCACGCCTGTAGAAAATGTCAAAGAAATGGAATGCAATTCAGTGAAAAAACTGAATCGTATTTAAACATATATAATGAGGACATTTTGGTCTTTTTAAGATTCCCATATCATATAGAGTAGACAAGGCCATTACCAACGATATCCCATGTGCGTGACATCTCTAGATGTTCTTTTTAGCTATGTGGATAGACAAAACAATGAAAACAGATATAAGAAATAAAGCTGAATTATATATGCAGATCAAAGTAATTTTTAGCTACATTTAAAGTTATAATCAACAGTTCATTTTTATCCCACATAAAAGTAATTTTTATGTTTTTCTTGAATAAGATTGATGAAAACAATGTGATAAAGGATGTTGAAGCACAAATGTGCTAATAACATTTCGTAAATGTTATACATTAGAATTAATTCCCAAATACATAGTAAATGATGAGCTAATTTCTTAAACAAAATTAGAACACTATTAACACGACTTTCACTTGATCATTATATCAAACAGTTGGTGTGTAAAGTGGAAGTAGAAAGAAACAGTAAATTACCAGCACTGCATTTCCAAGCACAAGACCATTATGCGCATGATTTCGCAAGTGAACTGATGAGGAGTCATACAGGTTGTCTAAACTCATTAAAACCCTACATGCAACAAAGATGTAAGATGAGAAATGGGTTTGGGAAGAACAATGTGATAAGGGTCGCAATTCAATTAAAACCCTAGTATACCTGATTCGGTGGATGAAGGTTTCAGCATTAAAGTCGTTGGAAGCAAGAGAAAAGGAGAAGAAGAAAATGATTGATATTGAAGATCCGGGGAAAATGTAACTTGTTGTATTCATTTGAGAGAATTTGAATTTTGATTTAAATCAATACATTGGCACTCGTTGTACATCTTATCGAACCTAAAATCTTACAAATTAACCTCAAGCCCTTCCAAAAAAGGAATGGGCCGATTACTGGTTTTCGAATGGCTTGGATGGAATCTCTATAGTATAAATATAGAGATTGTTAAGTACATTAGGAAAATGATTAATATTGAAGGTTTCACCAATAAGGTCGTTGGAAGCAAGAGAAAAAAAGAGGAAGAAAATTATTGATATTTAAGATTAGGGGAAAACGGAAGAGTTAGAATTTAGATTTTGATTTTATGGAGAAGAAGAAACATTGGAGAAGGATTAGAGGTAAAATGAAGGGAGAATTAAAAAGAATGTGAAGATGAAGCGAAGGATGGAGTTTATCGCAATCGAAATCGTAACCTATTGATAAGGGGCAATGTTGGTATTTCACTTTAAACATTGGAGCGGGAAAAATAGATTGGAAGGGGCTTAGAGTATGTCACATGGCAAGAAAGCTCTTATTTATTAAGATAGGAGATGTGTGTATACAAATTTATTTTCAAGGGATATTTGTTAAAATATCATATTATATTGAATCGTTTATTTAAGTTCATAAAAAAAATTGTATTTCATGCATAAGGTAAACTTTTTAAAATGAAATTTATAAACACTCTTTTACTAATATTTTTTATTTAAGTTTTATTTTTGTTGATAAACAAAATCAATACTTTATCGATCAATTAAAATATTAACATAAAAACCAATTGTCATAATTTTTCAATTAATACATTTTGAAGTTTTCATTATTTTTTTATACATTTTAATATAACATTCAACTTCCTTCATTATTTTTATTTTATAAATAAAGTATTATATTTATTTTACATATCAAATTAATTCATGATTACTTGACTTTTTTTATAGTTATTAATTTTGTTTGTTTATATAAAACTTTTAATTATACTGACCGTGATTCCCACGGGTTATAACCTAGTATATATATATATATATATATATATATATATATATATATATATATATATATACGTTCAGGTTCATTTGAGATCATTCTAATTTTGTGAGACCGTGAGACCAAATCTAAAAATAATTTTAAATGCAAAATAAATAGAAAAATCCAAAAATTCTTTTTTTAAATATTATTTTCGGAACTTGAATTAACGAAAAAAACTAAAAAAAAAATTTGTTTTTTTTTTTTTTTAAAAAATAAGTGAAATATTCTAATAGAATATTACACTGTTATATTCTAAAAAATAATTTTAAAATGCAGAATAAATGGAAAAATCTAAAAATTCTTTTTTTAAATATTATTTTCGGAACTCGAATTAACTAAAAAAATAAAAATAAATTCTATTTTTTTTAAAAATACGTGAAATATTTTAATAGAATATTATACTGACATATTCTAAAAAATAATTTAAAATGCAAACTAAATGGAAAATCCAAAAATTCTTTTTTTAAATATTATTTTCGGAACTTGAATTAACTAAAAAAATATAAAAAAAATTTTAAAAATAAAAAAAATAAAAAAATGCGTCTCACGGTTTCACAAAATTAGGCCGTCTCACATGAACCTAACCCTATATATATATATATATATATATATATATATATATATATATATATATATATATATATATATATATATATATATATATATATATGAGTTGAATTTTGTGGTTTTGTCATAGCGAAACTTAGGTTGACGTTGGTTGATGGGCTCAAATTGGTGATGATTTCCGAAAGAGCTACCAAACCCTTGGAATCTTGTAAGTCTAAGCATTTTGTCAAATATTGAAAGTCATCATAATTTTTTAAAATTTTTTTTAGCAATAGATGATCCAACAAAAAAATGAACTTTCATTTTTTTTATTAGATGTTGAAATAGAAGATACGAAGCAAATCTGCAACACCTCAAAACAAAGATCAGATACTTGCGAGATCAAGGGCGATGTAAGAATTCAAGGGAATTCTTCCACCATTTTCGTGTTATCTTCGCATGGCAAAAATGCCTCATGGACAATAAAGCCTTATGCTCGTAAAGTCGACATAAGTGTAATGGAACGTGTAGCAAACTTTACTATCAAAGTAATCCAAGAAAAAGTTGAAACCATGCCCACATGCACCAAAACTCACAATGTACCCGTCATAGTCTTTTCCGTTGGTGGTTATGCCGGGAACAATTTTGTCACGCCCCCAAACCTGAACGGCGGAAACGTTCGGGGGCGGGGGACGTCATATTCAGTATCATAACAATTCCATAGTAAGGAAAGTACACACTACTATATAATATATTTCAAAAAGTTTACATGATTGTAACTGTTACATGTTCAAAAGTTAAATATATAATCATGTTCCAAAAGAAATTATTAACGTCAGAACGTTAATCCCCAAAAGTTGTTGCAAACCTGGCTTAGCAGTTCCCTGAGAATACAAGTTATTTAAAAAAAAATGTCGACAATTAAGTTGGTGAGTTCATAAATAGTGTTTTGAGAGAATGTATGTCATTCGAAAGTTTGTGTATGTTTTCCAGAACATCCGATATTTTCTTATAAATGTGTGGAATGAGTATGAAAGATCGTTTTATAAACCGTATGTATTTGAAACATGAAAAACTCTTATTTTCCTAAATGTGAAATGCAGTCTCAATGACCAAGACCGTAACCTGTAAGCAACAGTGACATGCTTAAATGAATGATGTATAATCTTATTATAAAATAAAACTATAAGAAGATTGTATTTGTATGTGAAAAGAACTATTAAAGTTACTTTTCCCGTGAAAACAAATTTTTCAAATTTTCATAAAACATAATTCAATTAATATTCATAAAACAACCATATTAATTATCCAATTCAGGTCAATACAAAATCCCAAGATCACAACTGTAAAAACTCCGAGTGTGTGTACGGATCAAGTCGGCGCTTCCCGCGGTCGTCACTAGTACCTGAAACAATAACATCAAACACTGTAAGCATAAAGCATAGTGAGTTCCCCAAAATACCACATATAACACATAATAGCCACTCGAGGCTATAACTCTGTGGGTCCGTGCACCCAAACTCTATGAACCCTCAGGTTCTAGCTCTGATAAACATGCACCACATAAATCACATAGAAATAATGCAGTACAACACATAACATACATAGCATACAAATACTCTATCACATAACTCTGGTTACCTACTCAAGGTAAGGTATAGTGAGAAGACTCACCTCGCGTATCTCGGTATCTCACGAATCCTGGAAATCCCTCGTGCTCAATCCTCCGAGCTCTAATCCTCCTATTAACATCATATGTCTCTAGTTAACACTTTATATCTTCTAAGGTTGACTATCCCTAAGAAGTCAACACAGGTCAACTTCGGTCAACGGTCAACAGTCAACTTTGACCGGACTCGGCGAGTGCGCTATGGCGACTCGGCGAGTCTAGAAGTTTTCACCAACTCTCTAAAATTCCCTTCCTACACGTCGAGTATTCCCCCCTCACTCGACGAGTTTCACCTGGAAGAATCGCGGGGCCACCCCGACTCAACTCGCCAAGTCTCAAGAACAACTCGGCGAGTCCCAGTTCGACTCAGTCCACTTGTCGTCCCTCTCCAACTCACCCTGACTCACTGAGTCAACCCATGACTCGATTGTACCACTCACTGAGCGAACCCAAGGCAATCTTCAAACTACTCGCCGAGTCTGATGAACAGACTCGGCAAGTCCAATGCCATGCAACCACTCCAACTTGCTTCTAAGGTCAGATCTGCTTCCACAATCTATAGATTTGGCCTCCCTAGATTGATTCATCACGTAAAGCTTCTATCTTGGTGCCCATAACACACCCCATGGCTCATAAATATAGTTTTGACCTAAGGCATAAGGATTCCAATCCAAAACCTCCATTGATTCCCAAAAAGCTTGGGCAAAGGGACACTCTGGACCTCCAAGGGTACAGATCTATGGTTTAAACCACATAAGGGACCAAGGGGGCACTAGATTTTGCCACAAAAGGGTTCAACAAACCCTAAATCTAAATAAACATCAACAAGGAAGAAGATAACTCGAAATTATTACCACAATAGTGATGCTCTGGACTCCAAACTCTCAGAAGTGGCTCCACTTGCTTTCCCTTAGCTAGTTCTCTCCTTTCTTGCAAAAAAAATGACACCTCCAAGATCAATAATGGCCTTCTACTTTGCTCCAAATGCTCACACTCGATTAGGGTTTCACTCAAGGGACTGGTGAGCACAAATGACGGCCATAAGGCCCTTTAAATAGGTCTCAAACCCGAGAAATTAGGGTTTCATTACACAGCGTGACTCGCCGAGTCCATATCCTGGACTCGCCGAGTCCAGGCGCGATCCCGCGACCCTACTCGGCGAGTCTGAGCTCCAACTCGCCGAGTCCCCTCTCAAAACACCAAAAACATAAATATACAAGATACCTGAAAAATCCGGTTGTTACATGTTTACTCTTGATATGATATAATATGCAAACTCATAAAAAAAATGTATTTCATTTATAAAGCATGTTGTTTCCCAAGAGAGTAAGGTTGTGTAGTAAGACATTTTGCATGATGATAACTTAATAAGATAGTTAAAACAATAGTATGAAAAGTATATCAAAGATTGACGTTTCACATGATTTTTAGTCGTATGTTTACTTGTATTCCACCCCCCCCCCCCTTTAAAAGCATTTAAAAGGTATTTTAAAACGTAGTTATAGGGGTATGAACTCACTTGGTTGAAGTGGTAGCTTGAAGAAGTTGAGACAATAATGGAGTAGAACTTCAACTGGAGAAAGCTGACTTCTCGGGAATCTCGGGAGCGTCGGGACTTGCGTTGCGTGCTAGGGATAATACCGGGGCTTCCTGGTAATCTTAGAGGGACTCGAGAGGTGTTCGGTGGAGGAAATGGTGAGAGAATAGCAACCAAACCGGAGCCCTAGCCTCCCTTTTATAGTGCTGGGGGCACTCACGAACGCAGGGCGTTCCGTA